GTCAAAAACTAAGAAAATAATAATTTTAGATTATTTTAAACCATACTATCCTTTAGGAAGTGTCTTCAATAGCTTAAAGATCCAAAATGAACCATTTTTATCCCCCCAGCAGTCAACAAATTACCTATACAAACTTATCTTCTTAAGGGAAAAGGATTTTCTAAAGAGGGGGCTTTAATGATTTTTCAGGAAAATATACATCCCTGGCTCATAGTTTTTGTAATAATCAGGGAATAAGGGAACAGAGAAAGGAAATGTTTAATTTGTATATATTAAGCTCATTTTAAGTTTTTTTTCATGAAATTTTATAAAGTTCTCGCGTTGCCCGTGAAATTTACAAAACTCATCCAACATTTGGCGGAAAACAACCTCACTCGTACGGGTTGGGTAATCTTAGGGATAGGCCATTTATTCTATGTTCAATTTTAATTTAAGTTACTTCTTTCTAAACATCTGGCATTTAATGACAATTTCAAAAAAACATGTTGGCGGATTATCTGCTTCAGCTGGGGATTTTTAAAATGATAAACTAAGTTTATTTGTGGTGTTCAAACAGGCATAAACCGTCCCTCAAGGGAAATGTGAGTTGCCATACAATAGTTGGGCCCGATCTGTTCAGCCATTTTGACGTTAATTGGATTCAAACAGACAAAGTACTGCGATATGTAGGAAAACTGTTCTGACTTCATCTATGTTTAGGGTAAGCCTGCCATAGCTCACCGTGACCTGAAAAGTAAAAATATTTTGGTTCGTCATGATGGAGTCTGCGCTGTCGGGGACTTAGGATTGGCGGTCAGGTATAAACTACGGACATATTATCGAGATCAGGAATATGCACTTCCAAGAATAATACTGGTTTTTCATCAAGTTTTATTGTATTTATAATCCCTCAAAAAGCCCCCTGAAGAAAGGTTTATTTTCTAAATTTTAAATTTCTTTAGATATTTCTCTGAGAGTAACAGTATTGATGTTCCCTCGAATAGCAGGGTTGGGACTAAGCGCTACTTAGCTCCGGAGGTTCTAGATTCCTCGATCTTGGACGAGGATTTCGAGTCTTATAAACAGGTACAAGAGTTTTGCAAGTAACTGTGCATCTGGAGCAATTTCAGGTTATATGGTATATCAGTTAAGTCAACTCAGGCATCTTCGGTATGGTAATAGAAGATATGACACTGGCTTTCATTTGATATGCATAAAGCAATTGTTAAAAAAATTAATTTTTTTATTTTAGGTCATTTAGGTCATTAGAGGTCGTTGGAGGTCATTAGAAGGTCAAACACTGGATTCGTCGCGCTACTTTATTCTTGGGGTTCCTAGCTTTTAATTGATATGCATAAAGCCATAGTTAAAACAATTTAATTTTTGGAGGTCATTAGAGGTCATTAAAATTAGGCGTGCAGCCAAAAAATTGGAAGATTTGAACCAAAAATAAAGGCAGCCCCCCCTACATCAAACAAGCCATCTCAATCATCCCCTTTTTGTTTGACTTCTGAATATTGGGGCGTATTTTTTAAAGACTTGAAATTAAATTTTGATTCGATTTGTTTTGATTTTTGAATAATATTTTATATTTTATTATTGATATTTGATTGATTGGTCGATTTTGTGATTGATAAATTGATTGATTCAGGGAGATATCTACGCCCTTGGTCTAGTATTCTGGGAGATCCTAAACCGAGTAGAGAGGGGGCAGGGTGCCCCCAGCTACCAAGAGGAGGGTGTATCTGGCTACCAGCCACCCTACTGGGATATGGTTGGGATTGACCCAAGTATAGATGAGATGAGAAAGGTTTGTTTATTATTCATTATTTAATTTCTTCAACTACAGTGAGACGAGGGAAGGAAGCCCAATCACAACAAATTCTAGTCCGAGCCACATTCTCCTTATTTTCTCGTCAGAGCCACCTCGAAATCTTCATCCTTGCAGAATTATTTTTTTTAATGTCCAACCCTTGCAAATAAAAATGTGTTTTGAAAATCTGGCGATGTCAGGGCGTAAGACTGTTCAAAGGACCTCACTAGTCTCCTGGAGTTTGTAATAACTCTTGTAATAATAGAGATAAATGGTGCTAACTTTGCACCTATATTCTTTTAATCCATAAGGGGCATAAAAAAATTTCAAATTTTTTTTTTCTTGATCAGGGGCGTAGAAAGGGGGGTATTTGGCCCAAAACAGGTATTTATATATATAATATTTTTTTGCCGATGTATCATTATTGTTTTCAAGATTTTAGGTCTGACAGAATATTAGACCATGACAAAATAGCCTAACAAGGACAGATTCAGCTTGCAGGAGGAGCCCTGTATCGTTCAGGGGCTAAAAAGCCAACAGTCAGGGGGGTCCTTTGATCCACATCAGACTCCTGAAAAATGAAGAGGAATCAGTGCCAATAATGCAAAATTAAATAAAAAAAGGCGAGTAAAAATCTAAAAATGTTTTGTAGTTATTTGAATTGATAAATCATAAATATATACTTCTTCAGGGGCGTTAAGAGGAAAAATATCAATAAACACTCCCCTCCTGGATTTCATTAGTCTAAAAGTAAGAAAATAATAATTTTATAATTTTATGCCCCTTATGGATTAAAAGAATATAGGTGCAAAGTTAGCACCATTTATCTCTATTATTACAAGAGTTATTACAAACTCCAGGAGACTAGTGAGGTCCTTTGAAGGCGTTATTAAAGAAAACACTGTGAAGTAAAGGGATCATGTAATATGAGTTATTTCAAGTAGAAATAAATACATGTTTGAATTGATTAGGGGTTGTTGCCCCAGGTCTCTAATAAAGTTCTCTGGAACTATGTTAGAACACTATCCAAGGGAAAGTTAAAAGTTAAGGGGTTTAATTTTAGTGGACTGTTAAAACTAATTTTTCTCTGTAATTTTACGTAACTTATGAAGGGGATCCAATATTTACGTAAAATAAGAATATGAAGAAAAAAAATCTGTGTTTTTACCCTTATTTATTTTAGGTTGTGTGTATAGACCAGTGTAGACCTGAACTTCCAGGTATGAAAATAGTTTTAACATGCAGGGATGGATAATTTTAAGAATTACCCACCTCCGGGGGGGGGGGGTTAAAAAAATTGGACATAAGTTTTTTAAACATTTTTTATGACTTTCTGCATAAAATTTCATTTGTTTCCCGTAAAAAACATTTATTTTCCCGAAAAATCATTAATTTACCCTAATTCAGCGAAAAATCCTAAAACTTTCTGAGGAAAAAATGATTTTCAAAATGGGACAAGGAATAAATTTTCGTGAAACTTTTTTTCCTTTTTCGCTGGAAACCCTAGTTGCATTGCTATTTTGAAAATGGGTTAAGTGCAAGTTGAGCTCTGGGTTAACAAATACCATCTTAACATATATAAAATCATATTCGTCAAATTAAATTAAGTAAAGTCAATCCAAGTTCAATCAAAGTTCAATCAAAATTCAATCAAAGTTCAATCAAAGTTCAATCCACGTTCAATCCACGTTCAATCCACGTTCAATCCAAGTTCAATCCAAGTTCAATCCAAGTTCAATCCAAGTTCAATCCAATTTCAATCCAAGTTCAATCCAAGTTCAATCCAAGTTCAATCCAAGTTCAATCCAAGTTCAATCCAAGTTCAATCCAAGTTCAATCCAAGTTCAATCCAAGATTAATCCAAGATTAATCCAAGTAGACATCCAAGTAGACATCCAAGTTCAATCCAAGTTCAATCCAAGTTCAATCCAATATTAATCCAAGATTAATCCAAGTAGACATCCAAGTAGACATCCAAGTAGACATCCAAGTAGACATCCAAGTAGACATCCAAGTTCAATCCAAGTAAAATCCAAGAAAAATTCAAGTGAAAATCCAAGTTAACATCCAATACAAATTAAACCATTGGAATATAATTGAACCTATGTGAGAACCGAAATCCATTGAAAAGCCTAAGTTCAAATATTAAATCAATTCTGAAATCGTAGAAGCAAAGAAAATATTAAGAAACATACAACTGAACTATGCGTTGATGCAATTACTTATTACTCTTTACTAGAGTGCCCTTTTTGCAGAAAATATGGAAATACAATAAATAGAAATAATAGAATAATAATCTATATATAAATTTGGCTTGTCTGTTTGTCTGTCTGTCTATTTGTATCCAATAAACGTCAAAACGGCTGAACCGATCGGGCCCAAATTTTTTGTGGGACATCTAGGGACTCCAGGGAAGGTTTATCAATTATCAAAATTTCAAATATTTGTCTCCATCAAAATTCGATCGTCATTAAATTTTTTAAAATTTGGAAAATCCGCGAAATTTTTTGTGAAAATCCGCGAAATTTTTTGTTTTGTTTTACGATGTACACAAAGAGAACATGTTCACAATTAATTTAGCAGATGGGCGCGGGGCGCGAAGCGCCCTCTAAGGCTAGAAAGAATTGAATTTCTAGTATACAATAATTAACAATAGTTTACAATAATTTACAATAATTACAATTTAGCAACCATAAAATATGTGCTTCTTCCATGTAGATACTAAAATATTTTAGTCAGATTGTTTCAATTTTTTCAAGGTTATCCTAAACAAGTTTGATTTGACATAATTTCATAAAAGATATAATTTTATTTAAAACTCTATACTTGAACCGCTGTGCAGTGTGCATATTAGAATATATTCTGATATTGATTTTGATGAAAGTGAATACTTGAACCAGTGTGCATATTTGAATATATTTAGATTTTAGAATGGATGTTGATGAAAGTGAAATACTAGAATCACTGTGTATAATAAATAATATTTAGATTTTGATGTTGATGAAAGTGAAAGAATTAAACCGCTGTGCAGTGTGCAACTAGAATATATTTAGATATTGATGTTGATGAAAGTGAACCATTTGAACCGCTGTGCCAAATAAAATTATTTTTGATATATATGTTGATGAAAGTGAAATGCTTGAACCACTGTGCATACTAAAATATATTTAGATATATATGTTAATGAAAGTGAAATTCTTGAACCACTGTGCAAGCTCTAATATATTTTTATATATTGATGTTGATGAAAGTGAAATACTTGAACCACTTTGCCAACTAGAATATATTTTGATGTTGATGAAAGTGAAACACTTGAACCACTGTGCACAGGGGTGTATATAATTCCATATTTTTGATTCTTTTCCCCCCCCCCCCTAAATTTTTTTTTGAATTTCTTTCCCAAACTCGACAATTCAAAATACATAGATTTATTAAAGTATCATCTAAAAAATTTACTTATTCTTACTTAATTAAACAGTAAAAAAAGTCTACAGGGACATGAGACTGATTTTCTTGGTTCTTCCGAAGCTGTCCAAGAGATAGATCTGCAAACTTCAGTTTGGAGTACTGTCTGGAAAGTCTGGCGTTGTCCATCTTTCTTACAAAGGTCATCTCCTTCATAAACTCATCCCTGATTTCAGTGATGATTTTTTTTCTTTAAGATATGAAGAGGAGGAGCATTAAAAGCTATGAAAAGCTCTCTTGACAAAAAGCTTGATGTGAGGTTTCTTCCTTTATTAACTAGTATATTGATGAGGGATCCCACACTTTCACAGTAGGCTTCAGTATATGATTTGATATTAACATGTTCAAACAGGTCAAAGAATCTAGACTCTGCTGACAAACTCTGCCTATAATTCTTTTGGAACAGTTGATATAACACTTCCAAGGACTGCTGATCAGAATTTTGTTTAAATGTCAGGAGTTGAATGAATGTCTGCAGAAGGCTATCCTGAACTGCAAACTTCTCCTGAAGTTTGTCTCCTATAAGATTTTCAACCAGCTTCTCTAGATCTTCCTGGCACTTGTTTCTAGCATGTCTTTACTGATGTTTTCAGCCCACTCGGTTCTATGAAAACCCTCTACTGAAGCCTTTACAAGTGACGTAGGTTTAAATCGTTTTTCCTAGGATGTAAAGATGTCACATAACTTACTAAGTTGCTTTTCAACTTTCTCAATAGAATTACCCTTCTCCTTCCCTTCCCTTCTCCTTCCCTTCTTCTTCCCTTCTCCTTCCCTTCTCCTTCCCTTCTCCTTCCCTTCTCCTTCCCT